TCTACAGAGCTCCCTCTCAGCCATATAGTTTCTTAGCTTCTGCCCTATTTGGGCAAATACTAACCACTTTAGCAATGATAAATGCCCAAAAGGGCACCCTACTCTGTAAGTCAGCCTCCTGCCCGGTCTCCTGGTCATAAGACTGCTCCTCTGCCTCTTCTCTAATAGATTTTACGGCAGCCTCCACTCGTAGCTCTTGTTTTTGATGGTCGTAGGACGCCTCCATTTCTGCTCTTGAAATGGCCACTTTATACCCACTGGCAGGACAAAACCGACCAATTCCTGAGTTAAGACTCCTCTACACCTTACTTGTACTTTCCTACTCTGCCATTTGGTAGTGTTACAAAGACTATGGCTAGAAGAACCACAAGTAACTTAATTTCAACTAAGTAACATTTATATAAAATGTAACACAACCTGCACTCCTGTCTACAAAATAATCTAGTCTATGTTCCTAACATATTGTTTCCTAACACCACCTATAAAAAAAATCCTACCCATTTTCTCAGAATCTGGCTCCAATGCTTTGTTCATAATGCTGTCCTTAATCATCCTAACAGACTGATTAACGTCAGTATTATCCTCCTCCATCTGTTCCATATAAACCAAACTCACTGCCATCTAGTCCAAGCTGACTCATAGCAACTCCTGTGGGTTTCAGAGACTGTCACTGTTGATGGGAGTAGAAATCCCAGTCTTTCTTCCACAGAGCTGCTGGTGGTTTTGAACTGCTGACCATGCTGGTTGCAGCCCAGCTCATAGACACTGGCCACCAGGGTTCCTCTCTGTTCCATAAAATACGTGGTAACGTTCTTGAAGTTCTTCCCTTACAGTAAATAATTACTTCTCTTTTTTTTTGCCTTTTTAAGAGGATAATTAGTACTTCTTGATCTCTTGAAGGAGTTCAGTACACAGCAAATCCCCCCAAAACATATATTGCTTTATACCTTCCAGTAGCCTTCATGGTGCCTTGCACAGTCAGTAGTTGTCAGGTGATCCCAACCCACAGTAATCCCATCTGTGTCACAGACAAGCTCCAGAGTTTTCCATTCTGATTTGTCAGTAGCAGATCACCAGGCGTTTCTTTCAAGACACCCCGAGGTGGACTCAAACTACCTATCCTTCAGCTAGCAGCTTAGTATACTAATCAATTGCACCACCCAAGGACACTACATTGCACACTGGTGCCTAATAAAATTATTGTAAAGATGAGTAAGTTCAACAGCTAGTTTGAACTGATCCTTTATGTTTCCTTTTACTCTTTTCTCGATGGACAAAAGTTTTCAATGAGAAAAGTAGTGTGCTTTATATTTGTTTAGAGTCTAGGATTCCTTTAATGGATTAATTTTATACTCCTTTGTCTTTCTCTCTCCCTTTCTCTAGATCTAATTACAAGAATAAAACCAGAAACTATGTGTGTTATCCAATCAACACTCATGTACCGATGTGTTGAAGTTGCATCGGACTTCTCTTCTTAATCAATTATCACCCATTATCAGAGCACCTCACAAGAGAAATCACCGTATAACATGGTAAGACACCAACAGATTAATAAAGTCCCTGAACTAATGCATTACCATCCAGAATGAGAAATATAACCATCGGTCCTATAACCTAGTATATATTTATATACTAGAATTGTGTGCAATTAAAAACAAAAACCCACTGCCAAAGAGTTGATTCTGACTCTAAGACAGAATAGTAGTATACCGCTGTGTTTCTAAAGCTGTAAGTCTTTACATGAGCAGATAGCTTCATCTTTCCCCTGTGGAGCGGCTAGTGGCTTCAAACTGCTGACCTTGTGGCTAGCAGCCCAACTCAAACAGTCAAGTATTAACTGAGAGCACTACGAAATATGTACTTCATAAATAAGATTTTAACAGGCAAACATTGAGGGGAGTGAGGGGGGGCATTCCTGAGAGTAAAAACGGAAAACATTAGGAGTCTTGAAGACTATGGTGTAATACAGAGCCAACCAGTAACTAGCCACATAGGTAGGGGTGTGTAAGAGTTAGTGAGTTAATTATTGGGGAAAAGGAGGCCAAACTGCCAAGAGCTCAAGGAATTCGAACCATCAAAAGTATCAAGTGCATAAAAGCGATATGGTCAGAACTGTGTTTTGGAACAGATCTGAGATCAGAATTAAGAGATAAAAATACTGAAATTATAGAAATTAAGACAGTTGGGGGGGCATGGGAGGGAATTAAGAATCATACAAGGACTACTGGAGGGGGGGGCAAAGTAAAAAATAAATGATTTCACCAAAACCCAAAAACGTTAGTCGTGGAAATGGTTTACAATAGAGGAGAGGATGAATTTCATTTGGCCATCAAGTGGTTGTTGATGCACTAGCATTAACAGTTTCAATACAATAGGGGGTGGGGGATCACAATGTTAGGAGTTAAAAAATCTATAAAGGCAATAAGTGGGAGCTGTTTTTCCAACAACTGTGATAGAGAATGAAAAGAAAGAAAAGGGCAGAAGTAGTCTTGGGAGGAAAATGAGGCCTGTCTGTCTCTAGTCAAAGTGTCATAAGGCCTGAATATAAGTTTCCTAAGAATTATGTTATGGATCGGATCGACCCTAGCAGGGTCTCATTACATTTCTCCAAAAAGATAAACTTCTCAGTCTTCCTACTGATAAGGAGAAAAAGGGGGAAGTTGTTTTTTTTTGGTCAAAAGTATGTAAACTTTGGGGATACAGGTAAAATAATCAAATGTCTGTTTGTAATACCTATAAGTTATGTTAAGTTAGCTACACATACTTTAAGTCACAAAACAAATAGACATAATATTCATATAGAAATCCTGCTTCTCACCCCAGTAAACAATTTACAAAACAATTTTATTGACATTTTTCCAATGTATCTTTGCCATCTGTCCTCATGTTCACTAGAGTGATCAAGTAACTTAACAATTTTCTTTTTCAAGGCACATCAAAGTCCTTTGGTAAGCTGTCTGAATTAGAGTACTGTTTGAATTCTTGTGATCTTTTCAACCCAGGTTCTAAGTGCCCATTTTCTTTACATTTGGGCAGCTTTTCGATTCTATAGCTTTACCCTATGAATGTAAATTCATGATCTCTACAAGGTAGTCACTAATGTTGGCTTAAAGTAGCTTTAGAGATTTGGATCTCTTCCCAACAGTACTTAAGGGTGACTTACTCTTTTCTGTGGGAATTCCATGTGCATTGGGGATTGCAGAACTTTTTCTTAGCAGGTAATCAACAGGTCAGAAACTTCATAAGAAATCTGGAGCCCAATTATTTCTTAAACACTTCTCAAATTAGTAACATACACTATTGCTAGTAAATGTCAGTGTATTAAGAATAGTCTTCAGAAGCTAACATGTTTTCTTTCTGGGCCAATACATTAGCGCTTTGCTATCTGTTAAGATTTTAGAGAGAGAGAGTAGATTGCTCCATTCCTATAAATTAGTTCTTAGAAAAACAGCAGGATGGGGGGAGTGGGGAGGGAGGGGAAAAAAATGAGCTGATGCCAGGGGCTTTAGTGGAGAGCAAATGTTTTGAGAATGTGAGGGCAATGAATGTACAAATGTGCTTTACACAATTGATGTATGTATGGATTGTGTTAAGAGTTGTATGACAAAAAAAAAATAGTTGTATGACCCCCCAATAAAATGATTTTAAAAAACCAGCAAAAATAATTCTAGTAATTTACATGTATTATATACTAATTTAGTGTCAGATATTGGTTAAAGCATCCTACATATATTAGCTCATTTATTAGCACACTGTTCTTGTGAAATAGGAGATATTAGTAACTCCATTTTATTTCAGAGGTAAGTCAAGCCACAGAGCTTAAAAATGGTCAAACCACAGGCACTCCAGTTCTAGGCTTCTCCCAGTTCAAAAGATAATATACTCACTGAAAACCAATATATTGCCTCTTAAGTTTGTAAATTGGGCTTTCATTTAAGGGCATTCCACTGTTATGCAATTATCATCAGTGGTCTAACAATATGTGCATGAGGTTCCAGGGGAAAATTTATTTTAAAATAATATTACTTAATATTATCCATCTATGCTGCTTGAAGACATCATGGCCTGTGAAGGAGGAGTTTGTTCGATGCCCCCTGATCACTATCCACGTTTCAGTCAAACTTTGAAGGTAAACGGTTCCTAACTATAAACACAAACAGAACAGATTTTTACGTCTGTCTTCCTTTCCTCTTGCAAACTTTTTAACTGATGGTACAAGCACCTGGACCTCTGTGCCTAGGATATCTCCTATGCTATCTCAAAATTTTACCGGTAACTTTAAGCTTTTCTTTGATAAGGTAACTTTCCTAACCACCGAGATGCTGACAGCATTTCAGCAGATGTCATCTGCCAGAGGACGGGGGTGGAGAAGTGGGAAAGCAGTTTTCTAGGGGGGGAAGGGGCTCAAGAACCCCGGGAGGGGGTGGTGGTGGTTCAGGTTTATAAGGGGGAAGACGGATCGTGCAGAAGAGGGAGGGACAAAGGCAGTGGGGTGGGAGGCACTGCTCGTGCGATCCAACCTGGAACTTCATGCAGACAAACGAGAACACGAATTGAGGAGATATTGGTCGGGGGTGGCGGGGGTGGGGGGTGTCTAGACATGGAAACCAGCTAGGCAGCATTTTCCTGGCTTTTCTTTTTATACGTTTTGAGTCTACAGCTGAAGCAATTAAAACCCCAAGATTACTAACGGCTCAATGTATCAGGCCACAGCAACCGTTTTCCCCGACACATACCTGGTCCCTTACAAGCATCGCTCCCAGCCGGCCCGCCGCCGGGCCTTTCATACGCCGGGCAACCGGCGGGAGGGACCACCGGAGCCCCTGGCCGCCAAGGCCAGGCATCTGCGCTCCGCTCCTCCGCGGCAGCCACAGCTGCCTCCCTTCCGGGGGACAGCGTTTGGGCAATGCCACATCTCGTTGCCGAGCCTCCACCTAGCCGATCTGAGGAGCTGGACCCGGCGGCCACGGACTAAACCCAGGCTGGAGTGAGAGTCTTACCTTTAACAGATTAGACGTCGCCATGTTCCTTCAACTTAGACTATCGCGAGACGGCGCGAGATTTCGTGGCGCTCCGGACCAGGCCCCAAGCGGAGGCCGGAATTCCCAGCCGGGCCAACGGGCCGACGATCCCACCCCGGGGGGGTGGTGGGCGCCGAAGCGGCGGTCCGACGGCGCCAACCTCGTCCCAAGCACCGGGAGTTTCCTCACGCTTTCCGCTACATGGTCACCGGCGCTTGTCCACGCGGAAAAACTCATGCAAGCGCCCAGGGAGACGAGAACGCTGAATGGTGGAAAGGTAACGGGAGCCGACCCGAAGCGGTTGAGGAAGCACCGGCTCCACGAGCCTCCCTCGTTCGCCTTCACCTTTGCGGCGACCCCGAATTTACCTTGGGTTAGGCCCGGCCGCTCGGAGTCCGCGGCCGCGTCACGTGACGTGGCGAGCGGGGGCGCGCGCCGGAGCGAGCCTGGGCGCCCGGCAGCCTCGGTGGGCCCGGCGCCGCGGACCGGGTGGAGGGCGCCCTCTGCCGGCCGGCCGACGCCTTCCCTGCCTCCCGCAGCTCCCCGTCCCGAACCTGGGCCCCGGGTCCCTACGTGCTCATCACAGCGAACTGCGACCAGCACGATGCACAGAAGACGTCCGTAAACGCCGATGAACGAATGAATGCACAAAAGTGACACGATTCCTACTTCTATTCAAGAAGCTCTGCCACTTTGATCTACGATCCAAAATTGTTGAAGACTGAAAATCCGTCTACGGAAGCACTTTTTCCTAGAAGATCTTTAACCACTAGCCCTCAACCTTTATCCCCTCAGACCACAAACCATTGCTTGGGGCATAGCTTATATGTTATTTCAGGATCCTTCAACTACCGAAGTGGGAGCAGGAAACACGATTGCTCTTAGGGCACTGTTAAAGCCTGTTGCAACTTGGTGAGAAAAAAAAAACAGGAAAGTATCTGCAGTGGTTCTCAACCTTCCTAGTGCCGCTGCCCTTTCATACAGTACCTCATGTTTTGTTCATCCCCCAACCATAAAATGATTTCCCTTGCTACTTCGAGAACCACTGTTTTAGAGAATAGTAAAATACATCCAGATTTCCAGTTTGATGGGATAAAATCACTGAGAAGGCCCCATCCCTAAAATCTAAGGACGAAGTGCAGGTATCCACTGATTGCAGAGACATCATTCCACACAGAGCATTTGGAATAAACCTGTGTGTGTGTGTGTGTATGCAGTGGGAATACTGTTTGGTTTAACCATGTACTCTGAACAAGAAAAATGGCCACTCATTCAACAAATGTAACAGTGGCCCCCCAAAGAGAAGTTTTAGTAAAAAGAAAGCCCAAAGGGAAAGTAGCTTACACCATATGTTGTTTTGGGGTGACTTGGAGTAAGTTTTCAACTCAGTGACCCCCAAGTGACAATACTACTGTCCCACAGGATAATCAGGCAGTAGTGATGGGAACATCACCAGGTGTAACAGTCTTTCAGTCAACTTCAGAGCACCTAACCTTATAGACAACAGGGCTCCTCTCCTCTCATTTTCTAGCATTGTCACCAAACTCACTGCCATCACGTTGATTCTGACTCACGGCAACCTACTAGGAAAGGGTAGGATGCCCAAGGCTGCAAATCTAGCTTCTCTTGAGGCAAAAAAGTCCTCACAACTGGACCAGTAGGTCACATCATGATAAACAGAGAAAAAAGTTGTCAAGGACAGTGACTGAACTATGGCATGTTATGCTGTGTTAACCCCCCAATAAAATGGTTTGGGGAAAGGAAAAAAAAGTTGTCAAGGATTTCTTCTTTAGATCCACAATCTGCTCATGGAGGTAGCAGTCAAGATCAAACGATGGATTGCATTGGGTAAATCTGCACAAAACCTCTTTGAAGTGTTGAAAAGCAAGGATGTTACTTTGAGGACTAAGGTGCATCTGACCCAAACCATGATATTTTTCAATCTCTTCATGTGCATATGAATGCTGGACATTAAATAAAAAGAATCGAAGAAGAATCTGTGTATTTGCATTATGGTCCTGGTCAAGAATATTGAATGTACCATGTATGTTAATGGTGATGGAATAATTTGGGAAAGGATATCAATAAATGGCTGTACAACATGAACTGTATAATCAATGGCATTGAATTATACAGAATTTAAAGTTACACAATTACAGAATGTTTTATTGTGTATATTTTTGCCACTATTAGAAAAAACTACGTGAACAACAATGAGGACAAGGAATAATTTGTTCTAGAATTGAATGTGGTGATATGATTTATTGAATTTATGTCATGTGGATGAAGTGTTAACGCTGTTTTTAAAAGTACGATAAAAAAAAAAGCACTATGGGCTGACAAAAGAACAAACAGATCTATGTTGGAAGAAGGATAACCAGAATGCTGCTTAGAAACAAGTATGGCAAGACTGCCTCATGTGCTTTGGACACTTTTCCAGTCCTTGGAAAGGGCATCATGCTTGGTGAAATTGAAGGGCAGTGAATAAGAGGAAGACCCTTGATGACCTGGATTGACCCAGTGGCTGCAACAACAGGCTCACATGCTAACAACTGTGAGGATGTCGCAGAATCGGGTAGTTTTTTGTTCTGCTATACAGTTATGATGAATCCTGTACAACGGGGTGCTAGTACAGTGTACCTCGGAGCCCTGGTGGCGTAATGGGTTACGCATCAGGCTGCTAATCGCAAGGTCTGTAGTTCAAGCCCATCAATGAGGCCTTCTGCTCCTGTAAAGATTTACACCAGCGGTTCTCAACCTGGGGGTCGAACAACCCTTTCACAGGGGTCGCCTGAGACCATCAGAAAACACATATTTCCGATGGCCTTAGGAACGAGACACTGCTCCTCTATCTGTCTCCAGGCAGGTCCGCCCACATGCAGATACGCCCAAGTGAGTACCCAGCATGAAGACTGTTCCCCATACTACACCATGCTTCAAGACAAAATTTCATATATTTGTCAGTAGAAATAAGTATTTCACAAAATATA